ACCAATAGGCTGTAAATCAGGTGGTTGAGTGAACTGATAACAATGTTCTTGAGATCAACACCAAGAAAACTGAGGAAATCATTTTTGGCTCACCATCTGACTCCCATAAAGTCCCCATTGTCATCCATTCAGCAGGGAGTTTCATATAAATACTTGGGTGTAATGATTGACCATCTGCTGTCATGGAAGGATCACATTGAATATCTGAGCAAAAGGACAAAACAAAGAGTTTATTTTCTCCGCCGTCTTAGGTCTTTTGGGGCGAGCAGAGAAATTCTTCTGTTGTTCTTTACATCTGTGATCATGTCTATTCTGCAGTACTGCAATACTACCTGGTACAAATGTTTGTCAGCAGCTTTAAAATCAAAACTGCTCCAACTGTTAAAAATCTGCTCAAAGATGGTTGGTCAACCCTGTCAGAGACTCTATGACTCAGCCTATCATAACAACCTAGTGAGGCTGTCCAACAACATCATCTCTGACCCAAACCATGTTCTGAACAGTGAATATGAACTGCTACCATCTAATCGGAGATACAGGGTCCCACCATTCAATAAAGTCAGACTGAAGCACTCCTTCGTGCATCAGTCAATCCTCACAGTAAATACAGAGCTGAATCCCAGATCAAATGCACGCTGAAGGCTCTTGAGCATTTCTCTCACTGATTGTGCTGTTACGTTAAATGTTTGTTGTTTGTGTTTCATGTATTGTGTCTGGATACTTGTCTGTTGATGTTGGACATGGAGCTGCTGTGACGCAAGTCAAATTTCAGACTCGATCTGACAAATAAAGTATTATCGTATCGTATCGTAGGCATACTATCAGAGGGTTCAGTGTTGTGTGCAAAACGTCCAGAACAAAGGCCACAAAGTGTAATGTTTGGAGAGTTATAATGACTTCCTCCTGCTGTGGGGATAGTTCTTGCCCGCACAGAGAGCCTGGCTGCAGGGGGAGGCCTGTGAGGAGGTGAAGCAGGAGCTGCAGGAGGCCCGCTCCACCCTGTAGGAGATGGAGTTGTAAAAGACGGGGTTGCTGTGGCCGCCCACCTCGTCAGGATGAGGCGGAGATGGGCGGTCGTATAAAGCACAGCAGATGCAGGAGAGCAAGGCCCTGAGTCTGCTGGGATCAGAGAGCTTTTTTTGCTCAGGCAAAACAAGTCTCCGCTCCTCTACAGGGGATTGGAGGAGATTCATACAGCTGGTGCCTCCCTGCATGGGGAGGCTCAGGTTGTTCAAGCTGCTGTGTCCGTCTTCATAGCTAACATCAGCAGTTTCTGCCTCCGACACCTCCCTATCCCCCTGCGTGTCCTGAGGCTGCTCCGCCACCCTTGATTCAGGCTTCACGTCCCGCTCCCCGGTGCTTACAGTCAGAAACCTCAGCACCACCAGGTTAAGAAAAGCCCCAATGACCGTCAGCCCCACCAAAATGTACACGAAGCTAAACGCCACATAGGGGGGTCGCTTCGAGAGAGCATCAGTCTTCTGCAAGGCCACAAAATCTCCAAATCCGATGGTGGTGAGCGTGATGAAGCAGTAGTAATAAGCGTTAAAGAAGGTCCAGTCCTCAAAGTGGGAGAAGGCTGCGGCTCCGACACACAGGGTGCTCATGCACGACAGCAGGCCCACCAGCACCATGTTCCCCATGGACACCTCGGTCTGCTGGAAGCCCAGGCCCTGCTTGGCTCTGCGCAGGAGGAAGCGGACGAAGGTGTTGATCCTCTCGCCCTGGCTCTGGAACATGACCAGGGTCAGAGGGATGCCCAGGACAGCGTAAAACATACAGAAGGCCTTGCCAGCGTCAGTGCGTGGAGCAGCGTGGCCGTAACCTACAAATCACAATATATGCATGTCATGTGATGTTTGGCACTGCTGTTTAGTGTCTAAGAAGGTTTCAAGATATTACAAGATATTACAAGATATTACAAGATAAGATAAGATAGTACTTTATTGATCCCAATTTGGGAAATGTTTGCGTTGTAGCAAGCAACATAAAAAATACATGGCATTGTACAATAAAAATTCAAAGACTAGAAATAAACAAGAAAGTAGAAAATATACATGTTGAATTATAACAACAAGGTATTATGTATACATACATATAAACATATGACAGATGGAACAGATATAAAATGTACAATGAGGTTTATATGTAGCAGCTTCCATGGTTTTACCTATGAATCAATGTTTTGATTTGTCACGTTATCACATGCCTCTGTATGATGTGTAACTGCACATTGTGATAAAATTACTATGAATAACACCCAAATTCTGTCCTCTCTATATAGAGGTTTTTTAGCTCATGTTTGGACAGTTTTGTTCAACCACAGCACCACTGCAACTTTCAGGTATATTTACTTAGGTATATCCAATTTATGCTAGTTTAAACTCTACATACATTTAACTGCCATCGTTTCTACTTTATTAAACTGCAACACATATTATTATTTTGAAGTCTTCATGTATTACAAAATGATAAGGCTGTACATTTTACCTCAACAAAACTAAAAGGGCATCTGAAGTCTGGAAAATAAATTGCTTGAGATGAATATGATGTAGGCTACAAATCATTATCTTGTTAAAAAAAAACAGGATATATGCATTATAATATTTAAGATAAATGTAACGCTCTGAAAGGGGCCATTTGACATAGTTTTACAACTTGCTGATAATTTGCTTGTAATAGGTAACATACATAGGTCTACTTTGCAGGACTTTGACTCACATATTTGTTTACACTGCTGTAGACCCACTGTTACTTTTATTTAAGTGAATAAGTACTTATTCCACCTCTAAACACATACAAACATGTGGAAACACAAAGAAGTCAGATAAAGTATCGAGAAACCATACTTGCCAATTGTGGTGATGACAGTGATGGCAAAATAAAAAGACCCTGCGAACTTCCACTGCCTCCCGGCGCGGTGCGGCTCGGACTGCAGCACCACCCTCTCGATGTCTCGGTAGTCCTCCGCCGTGAAGCCGTACTTACTCTTCAGATCGTTCAGCTTCTGCTCCAGCGCCTTCTTCCGAAAAACCTCGCTTTCCGACTCCAGCGCGTCAAACACGGCGGCTCCCAGCAGCAGGTATAAAACTATGGAGAGGATGAGAGAGAGGGTCCTAATGTTCTGCGGCTTCATCCTCAACTCCGGAGTGCGCGCGGAGCGGCCCGAGGGAGGGAAGGAGGGTGCTCAGAGCAACACGCAGGAACTCCCTCCATCAACTCCATCCATAGAGAGTGATGAGTTCAGGCACCTTTGGCCAGCTAGGGTCAAAGAAAGCTATTTGTCTGTTGAAGTTGTGTTATATTAGCCTATCAAAGGTGAAAAGCGTATGCACAAGCACCTGAGCTCAGCAGCTGCAGGCAGCACCTTGCCTTCCTATAGGATGTTAGTAAAGGTGTTCACATCACATGACCTATGCCATGTCTTACTTTGCATATGTCTCTATGTGCTATCTTGAGTACATAAGTGCAACATGGTCGAATCAATGCAAAGTAGGCTATGGCAAAATGCTGTCCACTATCAGCTTTCACTCCTGGCTTTCAAATAGTTGTGTGAACACTGGAAACGTCTCACACTTAACGACCGCCACTTGGATATGTAACTGAAGTGACCCTCCTTCATTTCTTCTTACATTTTTTTATATATATTTAATATAAATACCACCACCATGCAAGTGATCTTGCTAGTATTCTAGCAGCTGCGTGAGATTTGAGACAACACTACAGTCAAAATGCACGTACTCTACAAGTGTTTAAAGTGCATAAAATAGCAGTTTACTAAACTGAGACACTCATTTGCTTTACCATAATTATCCTACAGAGGCACTTTTGTGACACAATATCCTATGTGCTAGTTCAGGCAGTCAACTCGAGCACCATTTATACACTTGCACGGGATTTGCCTTACCCCCTTTTTACAACCAACCAAACTCACTCTCTGTAATCTGACACTCTATTTAAACTGCTATCTCTCGCGCTACCTAATGATGCTGCCTTGCTGCTTCTGCTATGCTGCTGCTTCTCTGCCCCACCACCACCCAAGCATCCACCTGCAGGCTCCGAGGCATAGTTATTAAATCATCACTTATCAATACTCTTTGTAAAAATCATTTTCAGGGAGGGATAAGGCCGGAGCCTAGATGCCAAACACAAACTATAAACTGCTTTTAATAAACATTTGTTGTCTGACAATAGTCCGATATGCAAATCACACACCACTTTAAACTGCAGCCTTTACATTTACAAGGCAGCCATAGCCGTATAAAAATGCGTAAGTTCTCAGTTTTCGTTTTCTGTCCCTCTATATTTAAAAAAAAGCCTTTAAAAAAAAGTTTTTGTGCTGCTGACTTTCCCAGACTGACTCCTGGCTGTTAATCCCTGATCCTGTGTTTGGAGAGGTTTGGGATACACATGTGTCAGAGTGTGTTGTGTCTGCCACAGAAAAGCACATCAGAACTGTGCTTTACAGACTCTACTCCACTGATTATTTTGCCCTGTGAAGCGTTCATGTGCCGAGTATTCACAATACGCTCGGCTAAAGTGTTACTCTGACCGATGAAGCATTAGCTGGGGGCAGCGTTGACCTTTATCGAGCACACTAGTCCCTGAGTGATCCAGCAAGCCTTTGTCATTAACTAAGTTCAGCACACACACAGTGGAGATGATCCATGTGTGTGTGTGTGTGTATCAGTGCAGCTACACACAGGCCTACATGTTCATGAAGCCTCGCTCAGGTTCTCAAAGGCATCTGCTGGGTTTTTGCTCAGGGTCATGCTAATTGGGTTCGCAGCAGAACAACAAGAAAATAGACTTGACTGCTGTAGCTCCATGCTGCAAGTGATTTCTGTTCCATATCCTGCATGAAGTTTCCATCTATTTCAGGAGGACATTTCAATTTGTGTGAGCCATTCATGCACTAAACCAGGCCATAAAGAGCCTGAGATCTGTCATTTAAATCCACATGTATTGCCTCCATTCCATAAAGAGCATATGGCAATCTCTGCACTGTGTTTTTATCTTCTGCAGACAGCACAGGACCGTATCCCGCTTTAGTTAGCACAAATGAATCTATTGCCAAGCAGATGTTAACGGTGTAGCATGCAGACAAGTCTTGATTTTCTCCATGGGCGGTAAGAGCAATTATCTCCTTTTGAAAGGAGTCCCTCAGAGATAATAGCATCGCCAGAGTCCACTTAATGAGCACACACAGTGCTTACTACAGTATTATTCAACATCACTTCTTATTGTAGATTTCACATTGTTATGTTGGAGACAAATCACCCAGAGAAGAAATAGAAACATCAATTAAGCAGTATAAGACAAGTGACTTAGGTAATAAATAAAAAGGATCCTGTGGTTTAACAACTCTCCAGAAGTAATGATGCAGTGTTATCGGATGTACTCATCTCATATCTCTGTGCTCTACAGGACATTTCATGCATCCCTTTATCTTCCACAGGAAGACATTAAGAGCAGGATGTGCACTGACTGAGTCGAGACACTCATCTGTCCAAGTGCCAGCCCCGTATAAAATGAGGCAGGAAAATACAATGCAAACATGATGCTATCTGTACATTGATAACAGCGGGTGACGCCAGAATCGTTATGATCATCATATATTACGGAGACAAAGTCTATTTTGGCCATAAAAACCTAAATGTATTTTCAAAGCTAGAAAAGGCTTTATATGAACCTGCAGGCAGGTGTCTTCTCTGGTGAGAAGTCGTCAGAGTCTCAGATGAATACAGGTTTGAACTTTGCAGCTAATGGGAACAGTCCATTGAGCCTTATTAGCCAAAAGGGCACGGACTGTGTCTTTAATTTATTTCCAAAGGTGGAGGCACTTCTCCGTCACCCTCACACCAGGTGCCTGAACCAGAATGAGACACCTGGTGTGAGGATACAGTGTTGTATTCTGTTTTCTCAAATGATCGTAAATTGTAGCTGGGTAATTCTTACTCTAGTGAGTATACTGTCGCTGAGAAGAACCTAATCAAAGTCAAATAATTAAGATTGAGTGTCATTAACCAAAAAAATCTTGGCATAGGGTAGGTTATTTATTTTACTATTGTTGGATGGATGTTAGATATTTAACCGGACACTTCCACCTAAACATTATCCAAAATTGAAAGGATATGTTTTTAAATAATAATCACTACATTTCAAAAACTCACATCATTGTAACAAATGTAGAGCATTAGAAAATGTGTTAATAATCAAACATTAGACAGGCCTCTCACTGTCTGTTTTTATATTGCTTCTTGACTATTTTTCTTAGCGTTCAACACTTTGTAGATGGTTGTTTTCATTGTTTTAAATGGTATTGCTTTAAGTACATGGCTGTTATTTATTCTTTCTTGTTTATTTTAAGTTTTTAGCTTTTCATTTGTATCTTTACTTATTTTATGGTTTGTGAGCTGAGCTGTCTGATTTTTACATTCTGGAGGTTTTAAAGTGCATTACAAATAAAGCTGTATTTGATGTGAGGGAATTATCCTCATTGTTTACCTCACAATCACTTTTGCATGTTCAAAAGCCTGCACATTTAAATGTATATTTAACTTTGTTCACATACTGTATATGGATGGACAGTACATTCACCTAATCAGAGTTTAACTTCTGTTATTTTTGTTATTTCCAATCATACTGTTAAAACATGTTAATTCTTTTTTTATTTTGTTTTTTCTTATTATCCCTGTGTGTATTCTCATGTGTACTTAAGTGTTTCTCTCTTATTCTGTCGCTGCTATAACACCTTTTGTCCCTATGGTGATATAAATAAAGGTCCAGCATGCTTCTGATTGGAGGAATAAGATTTGTTGCAACTGTCCAGTCTCCCCTACATTCAAATGATATTTTCCAGATCAGCTTTCTCAGCAATACATATTTGTTGCCATTTAACCCTGAACTAGCACTAGCAGCCTGAGCCGGGAGGTGGAGTTGGTGTGTGTTGGTGACAAAGTTTCTATTTACAGTAGAAGTTGGGAGAAAGTGAAAGCGAAACAGACAGCGAAACAGACATGTCATAAATCGACATGAGGCCCCTGCCAGTGCTGTTGTGTCGACTTGTGGAGGGTATTATGGCCTTCTTCAACGACAACGAAGGTTATTCTGTGTTTGAGTGGTTTTTACGCTCTCCTGGTATCATATGGCGCTGTATGAGAAGACTTTGTAGTTTAATAGTAAACGCATCGATACCGATAAGATGGCGATCGAATTACGAAAGCCCGGAAGAGCCTAAAACAAACCCCGAAGTCAACTTTCCAGCGAGTAGTTCCCCCAAAGATGTAGAGCAGTCCCGCGGTAATGGTCCACCGAAGAGGTCTGCCGACTACAACCGAGATCTGACCCCCAAGGAGCGGCAGGGGTTTGACCGAAGCGTCCGGGAGTCTGAAGAAGTTGTTGCGCAGTTAACCGAAGATGAAGATGAGTCTGAGAAAGATGGTCGAGAGTTTCGCGTTGATTCCTCAGATGAGTTTTACTGTGGCTATGACTCCACCTGGGAGACAGAGGACCAGGAGCAGAGATGCAGCGGGACAAGGCGACCTGCAGCCAGGCATGTGAGTCCAGAGGCCCGCTGCGCTGTGAGGAGGGGGGCGAACTGTACTAAGAGCCGAGGGCATGCATTGGATTCACTTTCTATGTTTAGATTTACACTGTGTGTCTTTAGTGATCCAAACATAACCTTATTTTAACTTCTAATTGTCACAGGGATATGTTGTATGTTGTAAAAGTAGAAGTACCAGAGTGTAGGAATACTCTTTTACAAGTTAAAGTCCTGCTATCAAAATGTCACTCAAACAAAAGTACAAAAGTATTAGCATCTAAATGAAGTAGTCACCATGCAGATCGGCCCATTTCAGAGTTATATATCATGTTTTGATTATAATTATTGATGCATTAATGTGTAATCAAAGCTGGTTAAGGAAGGTGCAGCTAGTTTTATATGACTTTGTATACTGCAGGGTAGCTTGTTAATAAACTCCAGGTGTAACTAAAGTCTTATTTAAGTGTTGATTATATTTCACATCATTAATCCAAATCTGCAGAGTAATTTAAAGGCACTAAAACAATTTGTGGAGTAATTGTACTATATTTACCTCTGAATTTTAGTGGAGTAGAAGTACAAAGTATAGAAACATGAAATACTCAAGTAAAGTACACGTCTCTCAAAATTGTACTTGAGTAAATCTACTAAATTACTTTAGACCAATGTACATTTGCAACAATTTCACAATGTCTTGAGATTCAACTGACTTTCTTTTCTTTTATGTGCACCAGTACAAGTTCAGCAGGTTTGAGAATGCCGCAAAAGACATGCAGAACTACAGACATGACTACCCTGTAAGTTGCGTACTTGTACACACACTCACACACCCACACACTACAAACATAATATACACTTTACCTTGTTTCAGCGTTAACCAAGCCCATATTGTTATTTTATATTTCCCCACAGTCTCTGAGCAAGATGTCACGCGGGAAAGAGTCGGTAAGTACACACATGATAACTGTGTTTGATTTATAGAGGTATTTAATTATGTGTATATAGAATTTGTATAATCTCTCAATCGCCCTCTGTTGAATAGGGTGACCAGCCTAATCTGAAGTTTCAGCTCGGGATGATGCGTTCTGTACCTGACGGTAGGCCTACACTTACAATCACGTTTGACTTATGTGTCAAATCAGTATAACTATCCTAACATCTATCAACTTAGTATTTACTTATTTTATCTTTTGTATTTGTTATCAGATGCTTTCATAAAGGATTTCCACAATGAATGGTATAGAGATTATAATAGACTGGAGAGTGAACACTCCTACATTCAATGGTAAGATACTCTGTTATCACATCATTGAAAATGTTATAACCCTAACCTTTTACTTCCTGTTGAAAAAATGTACTCATTTGTTCTCTTAAAGGTTGTTCCCACTGCAGGAACCAGGGATGAACTATCAGGCAAGAACACTGACGAAAGGCGAAATAAAGGTAAACTGCTAAAAGCTACCGAATTCATATGTTAAAATAAATGTCCAGATTGTAAACTCTACTTTCCCTTCAGGACATTTGTCAAAGCAGCCTGGCATTGGAGAATCTGTTGGAGTCCTATAAGCTCATGTTGGACTTCTATGGTATCGAGTTGCTTAATGAGCAAACAGGAGAATTGACGAGAGGGCTGAACTGGAAAGCAAGATTCAACAACCTTAACAGGTGATCTCTTCACGCTTTATCTCTAAAATTGTACACTAAAAGCAATACAAATAATATATATAACAACTTTTTGTCGTTGACAGTCACACTCACAACAACCTGCGCATCACCCGCATCCTGAAGTGCCTGGGAACCCTGGGGTACCCTCACTACCAAGCCCCCCTGGTGCACTTCTTCCTGGAGGAGACCCTCGTCAACAGAGAGCTGCCACAAATCAAGGATAGTGTTCTCAGCTACTTTGTGTTTGCGGTCCTCAGTAAGAGACAACGTAGGGGACTCATCAAGTTCGCCTATTTGAACTATGACCGTAAAGATGAGTTTGTGTGGTGCCCAAAGAAAATTCAAATGATGTGGTCACGGGAGTCAGTGTCTCGGCAAAAAACATACTTATGATCTTCACATGCATCCCCTTGAGTATGGTGAACGAATAGGAAACCAACGACAATTAAGCTCTTAAAGTATTTTCTGTCAATGTTCCCCAAATTCAATCTACATACTTAGATTTACAATACTGTATCCATAATATGCAACTACATACTAATGCGGAGAACTGAATGTAATAAACATATCATCACACATTCAGGAATCCATTTAAGGAAATATTAACAAGAATTAGTATGCAGTTTGTTTTGAGTATACTGTAAACACACTGCATACTTTAAACAAGCATGATCAGAATGTAAAATATTTAGCCATGATACTACTATTACTATTTTTGTTTCATTAAATGTTATTCTTATACGGGTTTATATAAAGAAAGCCGTTCTAAACTGGGTGAAACGGTTTAAATCAGCAAGTGCTATTGAATCTTAAGTGCCTACGATTCAGAAGTAGTGAAAATGTTCTTTTTTTTTCACTAAACCTGAAATGTTTATCCAACTTATAACCTGAACTCTTGTCATTTCTAATACATTTTATTCACTTATTTACCGTGGTTCTTCCTTGCATTTATTCCTATTATCAAACTAGCATTACACACACGTGTTTAGCTTCACAGATTATGGCAAACATAAAGTCAAACACTGGTGGTTTTAAAGAAAAGGATATATTACCGTTACGTTAGTGAAGTATATTAAAGCATTCTGCATTTAAGGGACCCAATGGAGTGTTTCTTTCCTTAGTTTTGGTTCATGTAAATCACAAATAAATGTATCCTACAGACATTCCCATCACGCCTGGGTTCCTCCTCATTCTGAACGATGTAAGGGCACAAATATCTAAGGTTTTATAAAAGGCTGTACTCAGGTTTCCTTGAGACTTTAGCTCGTGGTGAGATTCTGCCAGCGCTTGGATAAATGTGGATATAACACTTTAAAACAATTAAGTAAATTATTTTGGAGGTGTTGCTAAATCACCTTTATTGGCAATGGCCTCGCCTTCATGTGACACTTTACTGCACAGAGTAACTAATATACCAAAAACCTAAACATTAAAACTAAGCAATTTCACATGACTTGATTTATTCAAAACTGTTTTTGTTTAACTTTGTATTGACAACAGCAGAGGAAGATGTCATCAAACAGGTTTAATTGGTTGAGCTGAAACAAAACCAGGACATATCATTTACAACCATTGATGGGATGAATATTGTAGATAGTTGGAGCCTTTCGCTTCATTGGTGCTAGACATTAAACACACATTTGCCTGTAAACAGTGTTTCCTTTACTTTCACATTATCCATCTCAGATATATGGCTTTAATTTTTCACTACTTAGAAAAGTATGATTAAAAACATCAGTATATACACAAATACATTCATATTTACATATTGCAAATGGTGTTACATTATTGTTTTCTTAAAAAAAAAGAACTGCTTGGAAAGGAGAAAGGTACGTGTAATAGGACTCTGTTGCCCACGTTAAACATCTTGTACACAAGCAACAAAAATGGCCTTCAGTTTTTTGTTTTTCAAATGTGGTAAAACAAGTTAGAAACCTTTAAGTGACAAAAATAATACAAACATTGTCAAACTTTCTAGTATGAATACAACTGTGGACATTTTACGAAATACTGCTCATCTACATTTACAGTGATACAACTCTTTTTCAACCGGTGAAAGATTGAACTCTCTTTCGTTTAGTGTCCTTAAAACTGACTAGGACACGTTCTTGTCATTTTCTGCAGTTTTGTCCTTCTCCTTAGGTGTATCGTGTTTACTGTCCTTTTTTTCCTCTCTTTTATCTCGGCTTCTGCTCCCGTCCCGACGATCCCTGTCTTTGTCCCTCTCTCTGTCTCTCTCCTTCTCTCTGACTCGGTCTTTCCCACGGTCTCTTTCCCGGTCTCTTTCCTTGCTACGGGATCTATCCCGTTTTTTGTCCCGCTCTCGATCACGCTCGCGCTCTCGTTCTCGGTTTCTCCCTCTATCGCGGTCGTGGTCCCTCCTGTCAGAATCCCTGGCTCTGTCTCTTTCCCGGTCTCTTCTCTTGTCTGTGTCTTGATCCCTGTGTCGCTCCACCTCCGTCTCCCTGGCCTTCTCGCCCTCCTTCCCTCTGCTGCGCTCTCTTTCCCGAGTACGCTCCGGATCCCGTTCTTTTTCACGGCTGCGCTCCAGATCATGATCTCTTTCTCGGGGACGCTCCGGATCCCTTTCTCTGGTACGCTCCGGATCCCGTTCTCGAGGACGCTCCGTATCGTGATCCCTTTCTCTGTTGCGCTCAGGATCGCGTTCTCTTTCTCGGCTGCGCTCCGGATCAACATCTTTTTCCCGGGTGCGCTCCGAATCCCGTTCCCTTTCTCTGGTACGATCCGGATCCCGTTCCCTTTCTCTGGTACGATCCGGATCCCGTTCTCTTTCTCTGGTACGATCCGGATCCCGTTCTCTTTCTCGGATACGCTCCGGATCCCGTTCTCTTTCTCGGATACGCTCCGGATCGCGTTCTCTTTCTCGGATACGCTCGGGATCGCGTTCTCTTTCCCGGGGATGCTCCGAATCCCGTTCTCTTTCCCGGGGATGCTCCGAATCGCGTTCTCTTTCCCGGGGATGCTCCGGATCCCGTTCTCTTTCCCGGGGATGCTCCGGATCGCGTTCTCTTTCCCGGGGATGCTCGGGATCGCGTTCTCTTTCCCGGGGATGCTCGGGATCGCGTTCTCTTTCCCGGGGATGCTCGGGATCGCGTTCTCTTTCCCGGTTACGCTCTGGATCATGGTCCCTTTCTCTGGCTCTATCCCACTCCGGCTCTCTGCTCCACCGCCTGTCCTGGCCCCTGTCCCATAAGGGCCTGCCTGGGTGTGGGACATCCCGTTCTCTTTCCCTCCGGCGGTCCTCGGACAGCTCCCTCTGTCTCTCTTCAGAGGGTTGTAAGGGACCAGGAGCAGGTTCTCTATGCCCTCCTTCGAAGCGACTGAAGCGCTCTCCGATGTGAGGTTCTGAGTCCTCTCGGGTGGAGCTGCTCTTCCTCCTCATTTCAGGAGAGTGGCGCCTCCAGGGGTCTTCCCGGTGCAAGTCTGGACTGTGAGCTCCCATCCGACTCGGAGGACCAATGGGAGCCTCTGGAGGAGTTGGCAGTAGAGGCCCAGAGTGACGGATAGCTCTAGGTTCATCAGAGTGCCTGTCCAAGCGGTATCGCTCGGATCCTCCAAAACGCTCAGAGGGATGGGGTCTATTCTCCTGAGGGGGGGGACCCCGGTGCTCATCAAAAGATCCTCGACGTGGAGGTGAAGAGAGGGGTCTGGAGCTCTCGTACTGGTTATGAGGATTTAAGTGCTGTCCGCTTACCTCGCCAATGGAAGGTGGACCTCTTCTGTCCTCATACTGATTATGTGGCGGACCCCGGTAGGCTGGACCTGGCGGGGGACCCTGACTGTCTTTATAAATATGTAGAGGGTTTGGATTCTGCTCCACGTTTGGTTTGAAAGAGTTAGGGTTTTCTCTGTTATAATGTTCTGCAGGGCCTCGAGGTTGGTCCCCCATTGCGGGTTGAGCCCGTTGGTCACCATACTGAGGTGGCGGGGGACCCCTGGGCCCTTGAAAGTGGGACGGAGGAGGGAGTCTGTTTTCAAAGTGACTATGGGGTGGCCCAGCGAAAGGTGGAGGAGGACCTCTGTTTGCAGGGAAGTTAAATGGTGGTGGTGGGAGGCCCCCAAATCTTGGTGGAAGATTCTGTCCATCAAAAGTAGGAGGTGGGTGCAGGCCTGGAGGGAGACCTTGCTGTACAATGTGCTGGGGGGGAATGGAGGGATTAAACATTTGGGGAGCAGGGCCTCTCTGGGCCATTGGAGGAAATTGTGGTGGTGGTGGTCCTCGGAGGGGCATGATATTATGGGGAGGTGGTACAGAAGGAAGCTGCTGCGGCGGTGGTTGGGAGCCTTGCCACTGGTTCTGATAAGGAGGGTATGCAGTTGGACGTGGACCATATTGTTGGCTGTTATCACCCTGCATAGGGGGAGGACCACGGACAGGGGGATGAACATGCATGGGTGGAGGGGGTCTCTGCATAGGAGGGTGGCCTGACACTGGAGGGTGGCCCTGCATGTGTGGTGGTATAGACATCGGAGGAGGCCTTAAAACAATATTTTGTCCCTGCATCGGATGGTGCGGGGGGAAGTTTGATGGGGGGGGAATGTCAGCTGGAGGTCTGTACTCTCTATCGAAGCCTGACCTGTGATGCGGCATGTGATGGTGCTCAAGCGAGTGTGGAGTGTCGACCATTTTTGTGCTCTGAGTGAGTACTGGGATTGTGGAAGGTCTTTGGGATGTGTTTGCATGCTCGTTATAATAACTTCTGGATGGCACATCTTGGCTATTATCATCATAATCTGATTCTTCATTAGCTTTTAAGATACTGGCAGCATTTGGCCAAATACTGTACTTGTCCAATTCTGTTTCTGGCTTGATTGGCTCAGCTTCCACAGTTTTGACTTCTGGCTCATCCATATAGTTGACTTCCATATCAGGTTCCACGTCCTCTCCTAATAATGGAATTGCTACCTCTGTTTCGTCTGACGTTAGGAAGGGTAGCGTCTCGCTTTTCACTTCCTCAAGAGGCAGCGTTGTCTCTTGGGCTTCTGAGGAGTCTGGGAGTTCAGTAACTTTATCCAGATTAGCCTCTTGAACCACAGGTTGTGAAACAGCTGGAGGATCCACCACCGGAGCAGATGGTTCTTCTTGCTCCTCAGGTTCTTCAGTCGGTTTGTTGTCGTCCGCAGCCTGGCGAGGATCCCTGCTCTGTCGGGGATCTCTCCTTTGGTTGATCAAGGGAGCAACTGATGTAGACTTTATTAGTTCCTCAACCTTTTTGCCAAGCTGCAGTAGCTGAGAATTGGCCAAAAGGGATGTTACAGGTGTGGTTAAGAATGTGTCTGGAAGTGTCAATGAAACATCAGGTGTCACAGTAGAGGATTTTTGAAGTTCTCCCTGTTTCTGGAACGCTTGATCCCCAAACTGTTTTAGGCTCTCCAAGATCTTTTGTGCATCAGTAAGAGACTCAACCTTAACTTGAACTGGTACAACAGGTTTGACATCTTCAAAAATTGAGTCATCCTCTGGATCGTAAGCTACATCATCAGCTTCATTTGCAACCACCTCAGGCTGCTTAGAGATTTTAGGTTTGATCTCCATCTCCACAGACTTCTTAGGCACATTGTAGCCCATACTGGGGTCATACTCTTCTTCTGGATCGTACGGTCGGTCATCTTCGTCCTCCTCCACCTGTTTCTCTTTCGAACTCTGTGCAAACTGCTGCACAATGGGGTCAAGCATTGAGGCGGACGGGATGGTGAGTTCCCCACTGTTATCAGACGGAGAGTTGGAAGCTTCTGAGTCGTGCTTTTTCTTCCCAAAAAGAGTGTTGAGGATCGTTTGAAGAGGCGTAGCAGCAGAGGAAGCAACAGAGCTGGATGAGGATGGTGACTCCTTGCCGGTGACAGTGGATGTAGCTTTGAAAGAGGACAAAAGGGAAAAGACCGAGGAGGTGGCTGTGGTGCTGCTGGAGGTCTCAGAAGAGTTAGAAGGAGGTGACCCTGGAGGAGTGGTGCTGAAGGGGATTTCCAGACTCTGTCGCGAGCTTCTGTCCCCTCTGACTGAAGAAGATATTTTTGGAAGGCCAGTGTCATCAGTATCTCTGTTTTGAATCTTTGATCGTTTTTCCTCAGTTTCTAACGGACCACCAGCTCGCTTTTTGTCCTTTTGGCAGATCAGCAGACCCAAGAGGAGGTTAGGACGAGCAGGTTCAAGCCCTGCAAGAAAAGACAAAACAAGGACCTTTGTAAACATTTTATGTTGATAACCGTAGATTAACAGAACTGAATGATAATCTTGTATTCCTGACTTGCTCAATAAAGACATTTAAGTTTCTACAAGATTTTTTGATACATACATGAGGAATTGTAAGTCCATAAGGCTTTATCAGAGTTGTATCTGCTCTCTTAAGTGAATCCTTTTATATCTCAACTGACAATTGTGGAAATGGTTCGCAGTCATTAAATGTGTTAATATGTAAAACAAAACAAACTGAAATATGTATGCAGGTGCCGGCTGCAGAGAAACGTGCGCTATCAGTAGGCTTGTGTTGGTTATTGAAGAGATGCCTTTGTAGAGGTCTTGCTTATGCAATGCATAACCAAGAGTCACATTAAATCACATAACATTGGTGTTAATCACTGACAGCACAAGACTGCACCAGGAAATTGCAAAAACACATGACTGCCAGTAAGACTGCAATAGATTGCAAACTATAATATAATTCTGGTAAATCTACAACCAGGTGAATACATCAGTTCTTATGGAGATTTGATTAAAGATCATTACTTCAATCTGTTTAAAGAAACATCGGGAAAAAGTAAGATGTGTTGTCATGTTTTTTCTGAAGCTAGTCCAATATTAAGGAATTAAGTGGTGCAGCATGTTACCATGTGATCACCGGTGTGATATGATGTAACTTGTCAACCATTTTAAATTATTTATTTATTCAAATAGTTAAATTATGTTTATGTAGAAGCCAAGTCATAAGAAACAACAGGCTGAGACTGGACTCAAATGGCATCAACCTGCGATGCAAACTTCCTTTATTAGAAATGTGTTATACAAAATCAGAAACACAGCAGAGGACACAGCAGCTGTTATATGAGGTGTTTTCTGGATGAGATTTAGCAAGAGAGTTAGTGCCCCCTACAGGACAAACTAATAAATCACCAAACCCTCAGTTAAAAAACAAATATGACACAAAATCATTAAAATAAACACAGTTACATTTAGTGGTATATATGTGTGACCCTGTGAACGCTTACCTGGCCCATCAAACGGTAAGAGTTTGGAGGGTAATGGGTCCTTTGAGCTCAGAGGGATGAGATAGAGGTCTTTGATACGTCGGTTGTTGTTAGCCACCACACCAAATCGTTTCCTGCTGCTGAAGTAGGAGAAGAGAGAGACGTATGCCACTTCCTCCTCCTCTGTGGCCGGGTGGAAACGGATCAAACATAGTTCCTGAAAACACAGAGAGCAAAGTATGTAAGGGATACAAGGCCTTTAAATTGAGCACTTTTATACTCAATCATTGTTTTCATCAAACCTTTGAGAGTGAGGTTTTCAGTTTTCCAACGTAGTCCCACACTGTGCTTGGAGATATCCGTCCTCCAATGTGAATGGTGTCTGGCAAATCCTGCACAAAAAATATAACACTAAGTATGATGCTTTTGCTTGCTTGCATGATATGCCCAAAGGTTTTGCATTAAACAATGATTAAAAAGGAAGGCTAATCTAAATTGCTAACCTCCTTCAGGTATTCAAAGGATCCTGACACCAGATAAGCCTTGGTCACAAACTTGGCCACAGACTGCATGTTGATTAGTCCTTTCCAGATCTTCTCTTGACCGTGGAGGAAGATCGCCGTCTCGCCCTCAGGAGGGGGCTCGGATGAACTGTGAAACCAAAATGTCTCTGTTTTAGGGGAAATCCAATACCTCACATATTTCTAATGCAATTTAAGGGACAACAATTTAAAAACGCCTCCATAACTTTTATAATGACCCATAATAAAATGTCCATGGCCATTCATATCGTATATGTACACAAACAGATGTTTAAGGTAAACTTTAGTTATTGATTTACACTTTTGTCCAATGTCCAATAGATTGTAATGTTTATATTAACAGAAAATACCTTTAAGAGGCACATTGCAAACATTATTTTTTATTATATTAGTCTGTCACTGGCATTACAAAATAAGGGGAAACAGACCTAGTTATACTAATGAATTATAAATGTGGTTTTTTTCTGGAAAAACAATATGGCAATATAAATATGGAACCTACATGCCACAAAATATTTCAAACATATAATTGCAAAACTTATAATTACATGGTTTTTAAAAAGGTTTTCCATGACTATTGGAACCCTGAATTTAAGCCCTTGAGTAAAAAATACCACAGTTGCAAACAAATAAACTACTAAAGCGAGCAAGTCTCTGAAAAGCTGATTTATAAAAGCGTGATGAGATTAAGCACCTTGTTTTCCCTGGTTTGGAGGCAGCCACTGAAGGGGGGGGAGCCGGGGGCATCGGCAGCGGAGCTTTGGGTGCGACATCCACTGGAGCGCTGAGGGGAGCTGGGAGGGCTTCTGCTGAGCTGTTGGGGAGTCTCTCTGCAGCCGGGTAGGTGACAGTCACCGCGGCGCTGTGCCTGGCCATGCGGGGGTCTCTGCGGGTGATGCTGACTGAGGACACGATGGGGGCGATGGGTGTGGGGGCCTGGGCCGGAGGAGCCAGCATACTGAGGTCCAGCTGTGGCTGTGGCTCTGGGACAGCTGGCTCCACAGTCGGCTGGTAGGATGGAGGGACTTGGACAGGAGGAGACACGTCCCCCGACCTGGAGGAGGGCGGCTCGTGTCTCAGAGGCTTAGTGTCAGGCTTCTTGATCAGTTTGGCTTTCTTAGCTGCAGGCTCATCTTCTGACCTCTGACCTGGAGGGTAAGATTATAAGAATGATTGCTTGTGCGAAAAATCTCGCAAAGAAAATGTTGAAGAATTTTATTTAAATAAATGTTTGTCTGTCATTCATCAAATGACCGAACGTAATGAAGATTTAGCAAGGAAAGTCTTGCAATATTTCTATATTAAAAAAATGCAATACTGTGATTCAAACTGTATGGCGACTTCAACAGTAAAAATGCTATGAAGTTATTAGCTTGTGCATAATGAGCATTTTCTTCTGCTGCAGTTTAACATTGAAATCTGTGAATGTTTCTCAGTGAGCCTGACACTTACCACTATGAGTAATCAAAACATGACATCATCAGTATCACCCTTTCTTTAAATATTGTCTGGAGTAATGGGAACGCTGCAGGCAACAGGCTGCCAACCTCCTACATCTCAGTGTGCTAACCAAATGTTTTCATTATTTGAAAACTCATGCAGCGTGTAGAATAAAATCACATCAGTGTTGCTCAAAGAATGATGGAAAATGGCCACTTTTCAAAATTGACCTTACACTTCTGTGTGTCATTTACCTGTGCATATCAGACAGTTGAGGTCGAACAGATGAGTCCTGTGTTCAGAAGTAGTGTCCTTGAGCATTGTACTGAAAATGTCTGGCATGCTGCCGCCACTGTTCCCCTCTGCAGCAGAGGGCTGAGCCGAGGCTGTAGGAGTGGGCATCGACTCATCTTGGTCCTGTGGACACAGAGAACTCTGAGGTGAGCTTGAAAAACAAATCATTGCTTTTCAAATAACACCCAGTACTTTGTGTGATATCTGGGTGTTAAAACCGATAAGGTGTATCACCCGGTAAAAAGAAAGCTTCAGAAAGAAAGAAAGAAACAGCATTGAAAAACAGGACAGTTTGCAAGATAGTTAACCCACAATTTGTATTTGTAACTAAGCAACCCATGCAAAAGTGAAAAATAAGTGTTGAAGAGAGAAAGACAGCATGCCACCACTTACTGCAGCAGCGGCCATGCGAGAAGATGAAGTGTTGGCAGAGATACATACATCTCCATCAGATGTTGGTGGAGCGTCATCCATATCCATGCTATGAGAGTCATGCCTGTTGCCCAGTTTAGAGTGCCCTGAATGGGCCCTTGCACCGGGAGAGTGGGCCTGCAGGAGAACAGCACATTTTGTGTTTAGAGTTACCTACATTTAAACTTCATGTTTCATTTAAAAGGAGAGTAGTATTTACCTCAGCAGTATCAGGCTTCTTCCACTCAGATATCTCTTTGGAAAGCAGCTCTTCAGCGCTCAGTCTCACCAGCCTGTAGGGACTGACCTCACGACCCACCACTCTGTAGAACAAGCCCTGAGACACAACACAATAATCATGGACATCAGTTACAAATACGCTTGTTAAGCTTTTCAGGCTGAAGGCACATACACAACTCTTTAAACATACAAAAAATACGGAAAAAAGTTGACTTACTTTGTTCTTGGGATCTTTCAGGTTGAACATGAGGGACCTGTATTTGTTCTTGTACTTGCTGTCAGTGCTAAGGCAGAGGTTGAACATTTCCTTTTCAATGGCAACCGACAGCTTGGACACTTCAGGCTCATTCATATTCAGGTCGTCACTGTCGCTCACCCTGGTGGTACCGAACACAACAAATGATGGTGTTCAAATCTGAAGTTTTACTGAAATATTTGTAGATGTATTACGAACTTTGGACTCCTTACCTCTTAAAGATGATGTCAGTCAGCGAGCGGCGGATGTTTGTTCTCATCTGGTTGTTTGGTGGGGGCCGCACGGGGGACACAGTGGGCGCAGAAGGAGCTGGATGTGGAGGTCTGGAGGATGAGGAGTGGCTGGAGGGAACTGAAGGGGGTGGAGTTGATGGGACTCTGGAAGACGAAGAGGATGGAGGTTCCTTTTGTGGGGGCTGCTTCTTAGGAATGGTAAAGTTGGACTTGGTGACTCTCAGCGCTCCTGTGGCGTGGATGGGACCCTGAGGAAAGCGAGACTTGTTTTGGACGGGTGGCGGACCGGGTTTCTTGGACTTTGCTGCAGTTTTACTCAGAGGTGTCGCAGGTTTCTTTGACGCCTTCGAGGTGGTGGTCTGAGGCTTCCTGCCCTTTGGGGAAACCTTGGCTGCTTTAGTCGCCGTGGACTTCTTGTTCCCTTTAGAAGAAGGGGCTTTTGCTTGAGCAGGAGCTGGTTCCTTCTCACTCTGCTTCTCTTCCTTAGGGGGGGCTGCAAACCAAGAAAAACACATGTTAAAATATGCAATAATTTGCAATATCAGCAGAAACATGTAGCAAGACAGTATTTTACCAACACAGCAATACAGAATGATGACTTTCAGATGATATTGGTGACTCATAAAGCTCCACATAGTTACAATTAAGACCACCTACAAAACGTAATTCACAGGTTGTGTGTGTGCGCGTCCTGAACACACTGCAATAAACATTCTTAAATACAAAGTTGACGCCCTGGGCTGTTAAATAGCCCCTTTATTTGTAGCAGCTGAATGCGGATACATTGTGCTGTTAATGCAGGTCCATTTGGGAAAGAAGCATTTTCTTCCTAAACATTTAGAAGAAATGGGCTTCATACTCCCACCATATATCCGAATAGGAGGGAGGGGGAATGGTGCACTCCTGTCTCGTGCAAAAGAACTCTCAGCAGATACTGAAAAGATAGAACCACAACTACCAGGTTGAAGTTCATAACTTCCTCATTTTCAAACTGTTAATTTAAATACATTTGTTTAATGAGCTCAGCCACAAACCACAAACACTAGAACCAGCTAAGGCTATGAGCTCTGTCTTAAAAAGTAACAAAACCCAAAAGTGTCAGTGGTAGTCATATGAATAATAGATGCAGATGCACAAGAATGTTCCTTAAACTAAAAAATTATGTGAACCAGTTATCACCAAAACTTGTATGGCAATACACACTCAGTCCAAACTGTCATATGCAGATGCTAGAGCGTCATCCATTATGTTCAAGTTGTATGTTCAAGCTGCATTAGAATAAGCATTACCCCACTTGAACACACAAATTATTCACCCACTGAAATGTAGAAACCACAAGATTATTGTCCAGAACCACAGTATTGAGACCCGAAGCAACCAAAGTAAACCATCATCTAATTATAGTGTCACACCAAGCTAAATATGACTCAGAAGAAACAGGGGCTATGCAAGAACAAATGAGCCATGACTTCTTCCTCCTGTTGGTCACTGCAGTCAATGGTCACACTGATCTCCTGACCTTAGAGGTTCAATTAGCTTTAAAAACGTGCTTTCTCATCAATAAAGATCCACATGTTGCCTTCAATGACCCCTTATAAAGGGAAACTAACTGTCCACATTTCATTGGAACAAACGATCCTCTTAATATTGATCAAATCTCATCAAAAGTGCAAAATGTGTAAAACACTTGAGGCTGGATGTCCTCCTCCTTTGCTCAGCCAGGTCTTCAGCTTCTTTCTTCTGCTGTAGCCCTTCTGAACTTCACTGCAGTATCTCCAGGGGGGGGGGGGGTGCGGGGGGAGGGGAGCTGGTCTCTGGCAGGGCTTCCTTCTTTTCCCGTCTGCTGAACATCAGGGGGGAGGGGGTGTCTTCTGTGTGATGCCTCCATGTGTGTAGATAAATCAGTTGTAAATGCTTAGATTGAGCTGAACTTCCCACAGCAAGCCAACACTGCTCAGATAATCAATCGAGGCATCCTACAATCTGTTATATCACCTTTTATTTCAAAGCCAGTTTTCCAGGAGGAGTGATGCATCATAATCAATATGAATTAAAAAAAATCTTTGAAGTCAGCCTATTAACCACAAAATGAAGGGTATAAATAAACAACTGCAGTGACAGCTGATATTATCAACTCAATGTGAGCCATTTTATATTCTTTAGTCCACATTAACATGGGGGAGATCTGAGACACCTACCTGCTGGCGAAAGGGAGGGAAGAACCTTTGTAATGGGTCAACAGCTGAGGTGATGAACCCGGGAAGTGGAGACTTGTGTAGGAGTTTGTAAAAAATCACACTCACACACATGGTCACTCATCACATTCATGCATCTAATAGTGAAGCACAAGTTAAGTTGAGACTTTTCTTCCACATGGTCCTGTTTTGACCCCTGCCTTTTAGCTATGGGGAAAGAGGTAATCCATCGATTAAGTGTCACACACTCAAAAAGGACAAGTTTCATATTGAAAAAGTCTCACTTGATGTAGCAGGGGCCTCTGCACTGACCTCTTGGCCATCGCATGGCTCAAGGGCCACAAAAGGAATGCTAGGTGTACCTGGTATAATGTCTGTTATTCAAACTCCTGCTTTCAGTTAATAACCCATTGGGAATGTGGTTCTCCCGAGCTGAAATCACTCCCAAAGCGCCACTGCGTCCAGTCTTATTACCTAATCAAATGACTAATCACCTGTGGAGAGCCCCTTCAGGATAAATACATTCTCTATTATTAAATACTTACCCAAAGCCACAAACAGCACTTACCTTTAGCCACAGCTGCCAACATGTCATTAGTAGAAAGAAACCTTTACATTATCAAAATCACTTCATAAACACTTTGCAAATGTTTTTTAAGTCTAGCATACAGCGGAATCCAGCTCCACGGCACGTTACGTTAGCACCACATGTATAATATAAACATAACAACGTGGTTTCAAAAACAGCCCAAGACCTTCAAAGAGATACATACACTTTTTGTTTAAAACTGTTGGTGATATGGGTGTAGTCTTTTCTGGTGTTACTGCAATGTAATTATGGTCGCTGGACCAGGATGCAGTGGCCGGCGGGGGCGGTTGTTCCTCAGCGTTCTCCTCCTCTTCGTCGTCATCATCATCCTCATCATCGTCGTCGTCATCATCCTCCTCCTCATCATCTGGCTCCGAGCTGTAGTCTCCGTCGCTGTCCGAGTCCTCCTCTGCTTCCTTTTGTTTCCTCTTGCCACCAGCGGCACTCTTCTGCGTGGACGGGAAGAAACACACATTCAGGCTTTTAGTTTCAGCACTCTGCTGTTTGACAACATTAGAGTCAAAACAGAAAAAACGTTTGACTGATAAAAGAACTGCAAAATGCCAGGAAGATCTGTCCATAGTTATGATATGTACGTCCTTCTTGCTCGCACTTTTAGTACAGTTCGAGAACATAGCATGTCCGAGTTGCTCTATATGTAGCTTCTGTAAACATTTCTATGAAAAACCTACACTGTGTACCAAATATTTCTTGGCAGGTCCATTTTAATGGTCTAGTCTAGCAGTCCAACTGATTTCAGACTTTGCCTTCAGGGAACCTGTTTCACAAAGCACGTTCACTGCTTATCAGGCCCCCTCCAAGTATTTATTAAGGTTTAAAGGGGGGTATCAAACTAATTTTCATCTCAGGCCACCCACCATCATGGTTGAACTCAAAAGGGCTAGTTGTAACTTTAAGACTATATCAAAATACATATATAAATGTTTAATATATATAAAATAATGTATTATATTACATTAGTGCCTCTGCATTGGATTAATATCAGATTGGGTAATAACTTCATCATTAAATACGTTAAAATAATTGCATGTCTCTTCATTGAGAATGTCACAAAATGATTTCAAAGAAAAGCTAAATTAAAAAAACTAACATTTTGGGGGAAAAGTCAGATTCTGAGGAAAAAGTCAAATTTGAGATGCATTGTGGGACATGTAGTTTATGGGCAACGTGCTTCTGTAAATCGGCATTTAACCGTATAATAAACATACTGTATTCTTTGCAAGCTCTTGTGGGACCACATAACATGAAGTCACAGGCCGGATTTGGCCCCCTGGCCTTGAGTTTGACACCCCTGGTTTAAACAATATGGAAATAGTTTCCCAACTGGAGTAAATAAAAGTTCCCTGTAAGCTAGTTCAGATTAGCCACTTGACAGAACATGGATGTTTATTTGCTTCCACACCCTTTAAAGTTTCAATCTCACAAAAAGTCTGTGGCCGTTTCTCAATGTCGAGTATAACTGCTGCAGAGCCACTATTTCAAGTATACTACGTCATCGAGTGGCGACGAATGCTGGGCATTTAAACAGTCCTTCAGCGCCACTCCATGACGTAGTGTCCTTGAAATAGTGGCTCTACAGCAGGTATACTCGACATTGAGAAACGGCCTGAGAGGGTTTTCAAAGTAATAAAACCTCAGGATGTTTCCAGCTATGAGTGTGCAGGAAATAGGCCGTGTGAAAAGTATTGACAAAAAAGGACTGAAGACTCCCGTGTGGATTTGGGGATGCAGAATTAGGTCAACAATGGGCTTAGAAAAGATACAGAACATAAGCACACAATCAAACCAAACAGTAATACCGGTGAAAGCATGTATACTGTTCATCTAATTCTTCATAAGGATGGCATGTGCAGTGGATATTTTCAAGCCTATAGGTGTTTTGTTTCTCTGCAGTCAGCATTATGATAACATTAATGATACAGGACATTAAAAAGGCACAGACAGTGTGAGTGCATACAAAAAGCTTGAAATGCATCTCTGTAACCAAAACCATGTGTCAATTAAAAACAAGGAGCAATATTTATGTAGATATCCCTTTGGCTAAACACCCTAAAACAGGTTTATCACCCCCAAACATAAAAGCGTACTGGGAAAGGATTCACTTTTACAATCCGAGGCAATGTCTTATTTTTCCCTTTTTGGATTATACAAAATGTTATCTATAGGCGCTCTCTGTTGAACCCCTTGATTCAGTTCATCACTCGGCCCTCAGATTTATTACAGTTGTTATACTCATCACTGCTTCTTGTATGAAAAGGTTTAAAGGATGTCTGACTATATAAAAAACTCACATCATGCAATCACATCACTTTGAATCAGTGATTGATTAATGGTTAAAGTTCAACGATAACATTGGGAAAACTGCTTTAAGTTTTGTGCTGCACACACTATACCACACATTACAACTAAACACAATTGCACCCAGTTGTAAACAAAAACATTTGATCATTTTGATGATGATGATGACTCCATTTTCCCCATGAGTCAGTAGATGGGCCCGTTGTACATTTTGTGTTATCAAATGATTTGAACCTGCTCCGTTGCAGGTTGCCAGGGTGGGTTGTTGACCAACTTAATTAGCTTCCTCAACATCAATACATTCTTATATATCAGAAAATAGCAGCTGCTTGTTACCATTGGTTGAGTAATTTTACCTCAAATTATTATTTTAGACACATGAATGTTGGTTCTCTGAAATGCTAATCAACAGTGACACAAAAGATAGGAAAGAATTTGTAGCGAACCAAGACACACCACAAAGGAAATCATTTCTCAGATCTGGTAAAAACACAAGATGAAAAGTCTTCTAGCAACATTTATATGACACACAGTTAAGCTAAGGAAGTGCCGTGTGCTGCTACTGCCAAAATATAACTCCACTCCATGTTTTCTCATTAGGTGAAAGGCAAGAATATTTACGCTTAAAGGACAGGCAGAAGGCATTATTATCGAGTGGTCCGAGTTACCTTTGGTGCAGCCTTGGTTTTCTTTTCCGCGGCCTTGACCTTCTGCTTGGGCTCCTTGACGTCAGTGATGGACTTCATGGCTGCAGCAGCGTGTCTCAGGATGCAGTCGTTACCACAGTACACAGAGTCCTGCTGAGCGTTGTTCTCACAGCCCGGACCGATGCATTTGGGAAGGGAAGACTCGTCCGCAGCTTTCGGCCCGGGTGTCTCCTCTGGGGGAGTCTCCTCTGGAGGCTTCTCCTCTGGGGGCGTCTCCTCCGGCCCAGGCTTCTCCTCCGGCCCAGGCTTCTCCTCCGGCCCAGGATGCTCCTCCGGCCCAGGCTTCTCCTCCGGCCCAGGCTTCTCCTCCGGCCCAGGCTTCTCCTCTGGCCCCCCCCCTGTTGGTGTTGTGTTCACCTCTACGTTTGACACCACTTTCTGCTCCGCCTCTGGTTGTGCTTTCGGCTCGGCCTTCTTCGCCACAGCTGGTGCGGCTTTCTGGACTGCTTTTGGTTGGGTTGGCTGCTGTGCGGCCTGCTACATGTCGGTACACAGTACAAATTAACAGCTAAGGATGTCATTTTGTCATCTAGATTAAAATGTACTTAACCATTAAACCCCCAAAATTGTAAATGTTAACTGCTTTAAATATCCAACAATTATATAATGGTTGAAATTGTACTATAGAGGCGAAGTCCCTCCCTTTCCGGGGGAGCTCCATGGGACCTTATTTCGGAAAAATTATGTATTGAAGTCAATGGCGAGAGAAAGATTATCTTTGGATCCCGTTTGAATTGTGCCACGAATTACAGATGATGTTTATCAATTTAAAAGATAATTTTGCAAGTAAAAAAAATTAAAATGTGTCGTAAAACGGAAGTAACACTTTTTTTTGTGAAAGCGCTCAATGAACTACATCTCCCATCTCGCACCACACACACAAGACGGCCGTCACGTTGGCAAATTTCACTTCTTTCTTTCAGAATGAGGCGAGAAGTATTAAAAGAGGTAAAAATCACTACAAGTCTGGGCATGTTGAGAGCTGTACATACACACAAGGGGAGTTAGTCGGTTCCGTAAGAGCCAGCATGCGGGTCCGGCATTCTGGGATTTGTAGTCTTTCTAGTTGCGTATTTTTTTTGTTTTATGACAAACTGACTTTTATTGACATGGAAATCTTTTTTTAAGTGACAAAAATCATATGTGTAATTCGTGGCACAATTCAAACGGGATCGAGAGATACGTTTTCTCTCCCCATTGACTTCAATACATAATTTTTGCGAAATAAGGTCACATGGGTTGGAAGTAGATGGGCGTGACTTCGCCTCTCTATGAAGCATTGGAAGACAAAACATCAGGCAAATCAGTCAATAAATGATTAGCTGGACTCATAATAACACAGCGGTTGATTTGAGATCAGTTTGAACCTACCGGCTGAAAGATCTTAATCTTCTTCTTCCCAGTTGGATTAGTGGCTTTTTCTATCCTGCCTTTGATGCCCTGGTCCTCTGATCCCCTCTCTTCAGCTCCTATGGTGGAGGGTGGAAGTGCCGCCCCCAACTGAACACCTATCATACTGGCGTCTAGCCCAAAGGTTGCAGCAGAAAATAAGAGAGTCTGCGCTCGGGCCTTCCCCAGGTCTATGTTAGAGGAGAGAATAGAAGTGGCGGGTCGGACCAGCTGCTGTTTCTTAGCGGTGCAGTTGGGGCAAATGTAGTCTTCCCCATTTCTCTCCATCAGGCGCCCGCGGGCCTCAGTGATGCCCACACAGTCTCCATGGAACCACTCCTCACAGCGGTCACAGCAGATCATGAACCTGGAGAGCACAGAGCTTTTATAGTGCCAACCAAAACTCAGTCTGGCATTCTTTACCACACTTTTTGAGAATTAACACAACATGGAAATGTGGAAAAACACTGTGGCTGTAAATACGAGCCTGACGACAAGAAGATGACATACATTGAAAATTAAAATGGCATTGTTTAAAGAGCAATTGGTATTATATGAATTAAAATGTACTTAATTGTTAAACACATTAAAGGTAGGGTAGGTAAGAATGGAGAAACCAGCTCGAGTGCGCTAGAATTTGAAAGTACGCAGCCGAAAAAATCTGCCCCTTCCTTCAGACTTCCTTACAGAGCCCATCCTCCAACACACACGAACGCGCACATGACCAATGAGGGCACGAGATAAGTTTGTGCACTAGATGGAAGGCTGACAGGCAGGTAGGCCATCCAGTTATTTTAGCCGGGCCGGCTAAAATGATTGGTCGTGCTTTTTACGGCGCTAAGGCTTCCACAGATGACATTTTTTTATGTAATTATTGTCAAAGCATTTAACATATTCATTGCTATCGGGATGTTAAGAGCATTCCATGGAATATAACAAGTGTTTCTGAAGTGAATTACCTACCCCACCTTTAAATCGACTGCAGTCAGTATGCATCAGTGAGATCATTTACAGGCTAATAATGGGAAATCTATTTTTACCATGCATTTTTCCGATAATACAATTATAGCCGAAAACCTGGCTCATAACACAAAGCCACATTCACTTCAACTACTTATTAATCGCAGCATCTACAGATTATGAGAAAGAAGGTGGTGCTATCCATATCTAACGTTGTTGGTGTTCTGTAAGTTTCAGAGAAAGATAGATAGCCTAGCCTAGCCTCCCCCCCCACACACACACCACAACACAGACTATATCACCCCTTGCTGCTAAATGCCAACAAACTACGTGCAATATGTGCAATATATAAATGCCGTTAATAACTGTACATTTGTAAATTGTGTAACTTGCTGCTGTTAAATACCAACCACTTATGTGCAATATGTGCTAGATGTGCAATATATACAGATGCCGTTAATAACTGTGTAATATATACCTGGCTGCTAAATCCTAAGAACTGTTACAGGATGTGTATCTTTTTAATTATGTAACTTTTTATTATATATGTTTTATTATATCATAACTTAGTACTTTTTTTTTTTTTTAAATGCATGTCACATATTTAACATATGTAACATTAACCCGTCTGTGGCTCTTTTTCCTGCTGTAACTACGCACATTTCCCCTCCGTGGGACTAATAAAGGGATTCTGATTTATTTTGATATGATATATTTTACCAAAAATAAAAACTTCCAACACTGCGAATGATTCCTTATTTGTTGTTGTTTTAAGAATATTGATGTTAGTAAGATTTGTTTAGGTCTGAGCTATGGATTATTAAATCATCCATCCTTTCTTACTAAATCTAGAATGTCCTACCCTGAAGTTATTGTTTTAATACAACATTGAGACATATTCAGTTATCTGATAAGAAACAGGTAGATATTGGTCAAACTAACCCCATATTATATCACTCATAAAAATGAACAAATAAATACCTTTTGTTGTGTTTCTGGCGACAGATGCAATAAAGTGCATTGGGGTCATAACCTCCCTCATCTGAATCCAAGGAAGACGATGTGGAGGACGAAGATGAAGACATCGAAGAGTCATTCTCATCCTCGTTGTCGCCTTGTGGGTTGCGCATTACTCCTGAAGGTTGGGTGGCTTTCGGCTTCGTCTCCCTCTTGACAGGAGTGGTGATCTTGTTGGCGGGGGCAGGACCTTTAACAGGGGTGGTGCTCTTAGTGGCTGCCCTCTTTTTATTGATGTATGTTCTTATGGGTCCACGTTTGACAGTCATCGATGCAGGCTTGCCGGTGCTTTCCTCGTCAGTCTCTTTGTCCGAGTCCTTCTCCGTTTCCTCTTTGTCGTTTTCATCTCCGTGTTGGTTCTCTTCCTCGACAACCTCCTTCTCCCCAGAGTCCTGCTCTGGCTGAGGCTGTGCTGCATTAGTGCCCTCTACATCTTCAGGACTGGGATTACTCTCTCCGTCTTTTTTCTCTTCGTCTTTATCCTGTAGCTGGTCTTTCTTGGCAGCGTCTCTGCTGTCTTCATCATTCTCAGAGCTCCCCTCATCTTTGACTGTCACTCCACCGCCTCCTCGAGTCTGTCTGCCACCTCGACTTTTCCGTTGGGGCTGCTTCCTTGTGCTGCTTCTCGTCTTCCTCTCGGGGGACTCTGTCTTGTCCTCTGCAGCCTTGGTGTCAACATTTCCATCGAAGCTGGCCTCTGAGGCAGTCTCTGCATCAGTTGGGGTTTGGGAAGGAGGATCTCCACTCTCCAGACTAGGAGGGGCGCTTCTTCTTGTCCCTCTTTTGGCGGTCGATAGGAATTCCTCTAGTTTGTCAGTGCGCTTAGGCTGCCTGCCGCTGCGCCGTACAGGACAGTCGGTTACTGCCTCCACTGGCATCTCTCTTTTTGCAACAGTCGACCGGCGGAAAGACCAGGTCTTCTTTAACTCACTGTTGGCCGGGGAAGAGTTCTCTGGCTCCTCTATCGTCTCTTTGGCCACATTCTCGCTCTCGGTTTGAAGCGGTTCTTTCTGCGATCTATTCCCTTCACCAAATCCTGTGAACAAACAAAGCAAGCTGTATTCAAAGAGAAAAGATGACTATCCACTACTAACTAACTATGACAGTCTTCAGGGTGTAACATAGCCAAGAAACTACACACTTTTACTGAAGAGCCTACATGAGTCAAAACCAATAACAACAATTATTATTTGTTTTAATCATTTAAAGATCATAGAACCAGTACTGTGCCCAGTATTGCTACAATGTCAACACCCCTTCATTGTGAGTGGAAGAGATGCTCAGCCAAGGTACCTTGAGAGCAGCTATCCATACTGTCCTGGCTCTGCTCTGTTTCAGGAGCTACACAAAGCTCAGGGCTCGCATTCTCCTCCATAGATGATCGAGACAATCACTACGGTCAAACAGAATGTCTACAGTTAAGAGAAGAGCACAAGAGACCAGCTATGAGTCACTCTTTCCATTTTATAATACGGCAAATACGCTCTTCTCCATTGTTATAATACGGCAAATACTGGGGGGGGGGCTTATTAATAAGGCAAGCTGGTATTACCAAGATGTTCCCATCACCAGGACAAATGTTGTTGTTGGTCATTTAAAATGTTCAAATTTAGCCATAACAGAATTACTTCATATAATAGTATTCCATCTTGCACACATTCATTTGTCCTTATTCTATGTATTATGGCATTTTCCATTTCATAGCTTAAGAGATCATGCTCTTCAATGTAAGGGCCTATTATGATCCATTTCCTTTTATAAGAAGTGTTGGTTCAGTGCAATACAGATTTTTTTCAAAAAATCTATTCCAAAAATAGTAAACCGCAGTTGCCGCTGAGTAAAATGCTACTGAGGTCCTTAGCAGGACACGTGTTGGGATGTCCGTCTTTGACACTAGCTCGACTGTCTGTTCCAAATAAATGTATCCATACGCATTTGGGTCTTCAAACTCATATCGAACCCACATGTGAATTCTTATATCAATAACAGGTATATGTAAAAACTCCTATACGTAAAGGCCCTTGGTTGCTGTGCCATTATATAAGCATATAAAATGCTTTTTTCAGAATCAGTTGAAATGTAGGCTGATAAGTTACAACAAATCTTAAAGCAGAAATGCCCATTTTAAAATGTTCTGCAGCATATACATCGTTGTCACAAACTTTATAAAAAGAAAATTATTTATTATATGCATGTTGAAAAACTACAATTACCATTGGCTGAGATTTAATATAAATTATCAGATTTCAATATGGAACTCGGAAAAATGGGAGTATCAATTGGACTTCATTCTGGACTTTTAAACACTGAACGATTTCGGACATTGGAATAGATAAATAAATACATGTTTAATAGTCATACATTCTAAGGCACAATGTTTTCTGGCCCAAAACAATATAGATATTGTAAATGTTGATTTTAAATCGATGATATTCTTTTCAAGTGTTATTTATTATGAAAATTCACGGAAACTGTACTTTATTTGAGATTCTCCAGGGCCAAACGTGCACACACAAAATAAATAGGCAATGTCTTTACCTGCAGTTCAGCAGTGATGATTAACAGAGTTGTTCTTCAAACAAAGCAAAAGCCTTGCACCAGTAGTCATCTGTCTTGGTACAAGGTCAAAAGATCTGCCAAAAAGAAAAAGACCAGTAAAACCCAAGAACTCCACACTGGTTTGAGATGCAACAACAGCTAGGGCTAGTTGAGATGACGAATATAAACAAATGTGTATTTTCTGAAAATGTAAGATGCTTAGTCACTGGGATATTAATCAATTCCATAACTGCTATATACACCATGTTCCCAGTTGGAATATTGAATGCCAAAGCACGTAAAGCACAAGTGAAATGATCAACATTAATAAAGAATGCATGTCTTTAAAGTGACCCAGTTAAGGGGCTCTGGTATCGTTCATGCTGACTCATTGAGTAGGCGTATCGGACACTCGTATCTTATTCTTTTCACCTGCCTTTCTTGCTAAAATGCTGCTATGAAACGAGTCTTCTGAAGTCTGAACTTTGAGGTAAATGCGAAATTATACCTGCTAGTAGATTGAATAGCTTTACACACTGCCCCGTCAACATTTGAAAAATAATACAGCTAATGATTTCAATTAATAAAGTATTTCTTCAATTCTGTGCTCACAGCACCGTGCCACGTGAATGGCAGGAAAAACTGTTGCCATGAGAGGTGGGAGGGACCGCTGACATCTAATTTAACACTAGCATTTAACAAACAAACCGATGAGAGAAACAGTTTGTAGAAATTTCGCAATACGACATGGTGACACAGTAAGGCCGTTTGTAGTGAGTATTTGCCGCTTGAAACCAAAATATTGAAGCTGCACTGGGCCTTGGTGCGCATGATATAGTAAATCTTACATTTCAATAAATCACAGCCATGCATAGGTATCACGCTAATGCAGGCCTACGTATCTGTAAATATTTAAGAAATAAGCCAAACTATATTGTGGATATCAGACATCGACCTACGACAACAGAATGTAACGCGACCTCCTGCAGACCTTACACAGCCCATGATAGCTAACACCGACCGTTAGAAAACGTTAACCATAAGCCCAGTGGCACAAACTGTTCTTTGCTTTAATTGACCGGTCACAATGAGCAACTATGTGCCTGGCGTTCAGCGTCTTGACATGTTTGTGGTTTTTGTCGTTTATTTGCATCTACAGCGACTAACTAAACTATGCGAAACGTGCACTTGTAGCTAACAAGCCTAGCTAAGGCTAATAGCCAGCACGAGCACAGGAATGCTAACGGCAAACTCAACCTGTAGCTATTAGCCACTTAGCTTACAGAGGAAATTATAGCAAATAACGCTAACTGTCAACCATTAAGCTTAATGCGACATGCGTTTCGTAACTACAGTCATATTCAACTAACACATGCAAATTAAGGACAAATACAAGCGTAATTTGGCTGCACACCAGTTAACGTTTGAGCTAACGTCAGGCGCAGCTTACATCATCTTAAACCGACCTGCAGAAAGAACACAACTGAGACACGGGCGTATCTCACACATCATTTTAAACCACATACATTGCTAAAATATCCATTTGTTGCAGCCTACCCACCTAAAGGCTAGAAATACCGATGATATGCCCTCGTTCTTCGGGTCAGTCATCCATTTTCCATTCCCGCTGGAGGAGCTAACTGACTGCGGCAGATGGCTGACGGTTAGAGTACGCTCAGCGTGTCTGGAGCGCCCCCACCGGACAGGAGGGGAACTGAGCATGCGCGAACAACAGTATGGGTTTGTTTGGCTTGTAGCTTGTAGTCCTACGCATTGAAGTACAAGATAAAAAGTAATACGTAATCTTCATGCTAGCATATTTCGTTTTTATTTGATTATATTAGAAAAAAATAAAGATGTAAAATCTAAAAGGAAATGTGGCTGGATTTGATCACTTCAATTAATCACTTGTAGTAGACAATATATTAATATACCGAATGTATCCCATCGTATACCAATCAAATATGTGTCAGGTTTCACATTTGGGAAGTGGGAACCATCCATTCTGTTAAGGAATGAGTTGCAGCTTAAAGTTGTCAAAATCCCAAACTTCTTCTAATATTTGATACAGAATTGCAGAATTTTGACCACACTGTATGTCTGTATTTAATGCCCTAATTAAAATATAAATTACAACTATAAACCAACAATTTTACCAGATGGTATCATCCAAACTTGAGTTTAAGAATGTATTTTCCAACTCACACTATAGTTAAAGCTACGCCATTGGATTGCAAACTGCATTGTAAACATTGAAACAGTTTGTTTAAAATGTTTGTATTTGTTAGTTTCTTTGCAGTATACAGCAGGCAACAATAGAATAACAAATACATTAACATAAAATATAAAATAGCAAATGTACAGACGTTTCTGTCAACAGTCTAATCTAACCTCTGGGTGGTCCGTCATCAAGGGTTACATTTTTGCAGTTTGAAACTGTTAACACTATGATTATGTTTTGTGACACTCAGGCATGCTCTTAAAATCTGTATGCTGACAGCTCTCCAAAGTTGGTAAATGTGCATGAATGTGCAGTATACATTTTGTAGACTGCCCCCTCTAGTGGTTATTAACTATCTGCTGTCAGTCTTGTTTCCACATTTAAAATGTAACCACTGTACACTGGGATATGTGAGCCTAAAAAGGCAAACACAAATATAGATATATATTTATATATCAAAAAGGATTTAGATTGCTCCCTCAACAGCCGCTTGAACAGACAAATTTACATCGACATATCTTTACAGTGGAAAAAAAATATCTACACACATTTACATTTTCAAGTATGGAAATCTTGTTTAGGACAAAGTAACAGCAACGTTGTCAGTGCTCTTTTCCATGTCACAGTCTTTGTCTGACGGTGCAGAGACCGGCGTTTCTCTCAGAGTGCTCGGGCCTCCAGCCTGCCCTAAACCTTTGTTAGGGAGCTCTGCTGTCGACTCAGCCTCAGGTTCTTGCTGTGGGGCTGTGGCTGAAATAGAACAAAAGTGAGGGGAGAAAAAAAACATTACATTTAGGAAAATGTTAGGTGTATTGTCGCCAGTGATTATAGAAGCAAGCAAAGAAAAAAAGACTTTGAGACAGAGATATGAGCAGGCTTATGAAAAAAACTTGTGTTAATGTCATCGACTGATACAGAATCAGGTGAATTATGAAGTAGGTTTACACAAACAAGGAATTTGAGTTGATGTTGATTGAACAAAGGAAGATTACTTAAGTATAACAAGCATTGTAACAAATATAATAAAGTAAAATACATTATTTGTACAATAAATAAGAAAGTAAAACAAATAAAACAGGAAAAATGACTGTAAAAAATGTGTGCAGTGGAATGTAAGTGGAAGAGCTGGGCGGAAGCATTGTGCAGAAATGTGTGCTAAGATTCCCAGTATGGATGTAAGGAATGACACAAAAATTATGCAAGATTTGTGATGTGGCTAAATATAACGCATATGTTGATGTAATATAGACATTGATAGTGTTGGGACATGCTATACCTGACTGCGTGCAGGACTTCATGTGTTCGGGCCAGTGGGCCTGCTGACAGGGGTAATCACAGTAGCTGGTGTTCCAGCAGCAGTAGAAGATGGCCTCCTTCCTGCAGTTAGCACACCACTGTTTCTTCTTGGTCTCGTCCACTGCTTGCTGCTTCTCCTGCTCCGTCTGTTTCTTCACCTCAGTCACCAGCCGCTCTCTCTCTTGTTCCAGACTTTGCCTCATCTCTGCCATTGTAAGCTCTGCATTGAAGTACATATAAACACGATCAAGCAGAAGTAAAAACACCATACACAGTTTTGGGGGGAAAAAGCTATATACATTGGTCGATGAAGTTCTCACCAAGATTGTGCTTCATTTCTGACAACTCTTGCTGATGGAGCCACTGTAATTTTTCTATTTCGATTCTTAGTCTTCTTATCTGGTTAAAAAACAAAAACAGGGGTTAGGGTATGTAAAGGGCCAAATGCAAAGCCATTGTTATGGTCTGAATAGTAGTTAGTTTCTATAGGGTCAAGGGCAAACACTTACCTCTGCTATTGTATTCCCTGAAGTACTCTTCGAAAGGTCATTGTAGATTTCAGTCATTGTACCTTTGATTGCATCCATTATCTGAAAAAAGAGTAAATCATTATTGCGAAGTCTCATTCAAGAAAAAAGTATTTCATGGCAGGGCATTCAGGGCAGGATTTTTCAAGAAACAACATAGTTCAGAGAATCAAGTTTCTTTTTAAAATCATACAACTTTACTCACTTATTCACTACCCTAAGAATCACAGCACTGCCAGCCTTAATGCTTGCAGTGCAGAGATTCATCCACCAGAGGGCCCCAGAAAGAGCCTTCACTAGACTACGTCAGACAAACGTCACCAAGATGGCCGACTCCCTCCCATGCTACCCCATGATGCTCCCCCATGATGCTCCCTCCACCTGCCTCTGAATTACCAGCATGCCCAGTTTCACAACAATACTGTATCAAACTCATATCTGCCGTTTCAAGACAAACCAGCATATGTTTTAGTGACATCATTTGCAGAGAACCTCTCTTTAAGCCACTGTGAATGTAAAATGCGCACTCAGACCGCTTTTAGCCGTTTATACTGTTCGCTATGGGGAAGTTGTCGAGGGGCCTTCAGGTGCCTTTGAAAGCTCGGAATTTTTTATTATATAGCCATACCAAGCATGTTATTGTAGTCTGAGGAGAGAATTCTCCTCCATCTTTTAAACACAACTTGCTTTGATATTTGCAACGGTCATTTGTAAGAATTTATTATTAGATTATTTTTGTAATCATACTTATTTTGGGCAACATACGATTATGAATTCTGAAGATCCCATGTTTTCAAATAGTAAAGATGCATAGCTTCCATAATTACACCATCTTTTGTAAAAACAACAACACAGGCCTTTTTGAACTACCAATTCTTATCTGGTTATTTTTTCGTGTCATCGTCAAACCCAAATTTGTCAGAAATATGTAGTTTAAAAGCTAGATAGAATTGACATTCTCTCATAATTTTCTCTCAGGGCTTTCTTTAATGATCAGCCAGGGCTTAGGCTACGTCCAGTAAATGTGGCAAATGTAAACAGATAATTATACTAACTTTATTTGTGTACTTGGCAATGTCTGCAGCTACTTCTGCTGAGGCCGTGGGGATATACACGTCTGTGGCGACTGGTGACGAGGTGGCAGCTGTGCCTAAACTTGACGCTGCCATCATGGCAACAGAAGCTGGACTACTGGTAACCAGGGTGACCGTGGATGTGCTGAGCGGGGAGTCTTTTAGTTGAACAGCTGGAATTAGAAAACACAGAAATTCAGATTATTATGGAAAAAGGATGGAGAAATATTTTGCACATTTGTAGAGAAGGGCTGCCCAAAGTGGGTCAAACTAAGTTAATGCAATAGGTGTTTGCTTTTCAGCCCATAGTCCACCAATGAGTTTCTGTTTTGGCCTTTCCAATTGAAAATATTTAGGGCACACCTGCTGTGAAGGGTAAAGAGTAGGATCTTCTATTACATGAAGGACTTCACACGGTGATAAGTCATACTTGAAATACGTTTTATCTACCTTTAACAGCCTGTCTGGTCTGATAGCGTGTGCTTTGGGAAGACTGCGGTGCTGAAGAGGAAGATGAGGATACTGCTGTGGAGCCATTTCCTGTGGCCTGTGTTGATGCTTGAGCCTGGCCTTGCTTTGGAGACAACGCCTCTATCTGCATGGTGGCCACAGGTGACTGGTTCTGCTGCTGACGCTGCACCTTCTGCATGTGCCACTTCTGCGAGGAGGTCTGAAACTTAGCGGAGGGATTCCAGACCACCGCTCTCTGCACCACCGGCACTGTCTCTCTGGGCAGCAGAGGACGCTGTTTCTTCAAAGCAGGCGTGGTGGAGGCTGGGGAGGAGGATGAAGAAGAAGAAGAAGGGGGTGTTGCGGTGGCACTGGACACGGGTGCGAGGCTTATGGTTGAGGGTGAGGGAGCAGTGAAAGAGAGCATGGTGACAGGGATGGCCATAGGTGAAACACTGGAGGGAGTTGTGCTGTTTTGAGACGGTGTCGATGGGGTCAGGGCTTTACCTACCAGAGAAAGTACCAACATTATTTACCAGTGCCAAAGATTATGTAACGACATGTCACATATGCTAAAAGATAATCACTCTCACCTTCAGATTTACCAACAGATGACTCTTTAAGAGTGGTATGATCTTTCCTGCTCCTCTTCCTGTCCTTGCTTCCCTGTTCCTCTCCGAGGTCGATAACCAGCTCTCTCTCTGAGTCAGAGTCCTCCACCGGCGGTTTTGAATCTTGTTTTGCCTGCACCTTCTCCCTTAGAGGAGGTGATAGTGGAGTTGCTTTGGTCTTGACAGGGCTCTCTTTTTCAGAATCCGCGCTCGTTTTTTCTCTTTTCGGAGCATCTGATGCTGCTGCACTGGCGTCGCTTTCTGCCGTGTTTGATGCCTCGAGTGAATCGGCTTTACCCTCCTTATCTTGGCTTACAGAAGGTTGATCTTTGCCTTTACTTTTGATAGGCTCCTTCTGGGTGTCATCATTGGAGGCTGCATCCTGACCGTCCTTGGTCTTTTGCTCCTCATCACTGGCATACTCACTGTCACTGGAGTCAGACTTATCAGAGTCTTCTGAGTCACTGTGCTCCACACTTTTATACACATCAACAGAGATCTCATCTATACCTGCAAAACAAAGAAGGAGGGATATATCACAACGCTATGTTCAGTTACTTAGGAGAGCAATCCTTCTGCTGACTATCAACAACAGAAATTGCTTTTCGTTATTCAATGCATGCTCTACTGACCCAGTTGTGCCTTGCAGCTTTCTATGGTTTTGTCCAAGTTCAGCTGGAAACGGCTCTTGATCTGTCTTTTTGGAGAAGTGAGGACGGGTGTTGCTCCTTGTTTCTGCTGAACCGTTTCACTGAGCTCCTTTAGGTCCATTTCTGCTTTACTCCGATCTAGAAAAATACAACAGGAGATTATTCCAAACAGAAATGTATCTGTAGGACTGAAATTCCACCTACTCTTAAACAGATCGATTGGTTGATGAACCTTCTTTTTTATCTCTTAAATGTATATTTAAATGGTAACAACAGACTTAAAGGTCCCATGTCATGGCCATTTCTACTGATCATAATTCCATTGTTGAGGTCGACTAGAATAGATTTACATTGTTCCAAACTCACATTGGTTTCTCATACAGCATCTCTGTATAGTATGTGTATTCACTCTCTGTCCTAAACGACTTGTTGGAGCTCCCCCCCCCCTCCTTCCCTATGAGCCCACTGTGCTCTGATTGGTCCACCACCGTTACAGCGGAACATCAGTGTTTATGTGTTAAAATGGCGTTTGTTAACAACCAGAAAATGACACCAGTAATGACAAACAGATGAGAATGCTGCGTGGGGTCTGGGTGCCGTGTTGGCGGGACGTTGCGGGGCTCGCTGCTCCGCCCTTTGAGGCTTGAGGAGCGGACAGTGTGAGCTGGATTACTGGTGTTGTTTCCTGGTTCCTGCGTGGGGTCTGCGAGACAGCGAGACAGCGCGAAACTCAGCCTGAACTCAGCCTGAGCACACACACACTCGTAGCCTGGCTGTGAGTTTGTGTGTGTGCCTAGGCTGAGTTTCGCGGTGTCTCGCTGTCTCAGGCTGAGAAATCCGCGGAGCCGTTACGTCACAGTGACCCTTACGTCACTACGACCAGGAAGAAAAAAATGGAAAAAGAAAACGAGGCGTTCTGGGGCAGCACAGACAGGTCTTTTCTGTGTTAGAGTTTTACTCGTTACAGGGTGTACTTTGAGGGTTTGTGACTCTGCAGACCGTTTACATGCAGAAAAAGCTACATAACACACAAGGGGACGGGTGATAATCAGAAAAGCATGACATGGGACCTTTAAAAGGCTGATCAGCACACACGTGCCTATATTCATACGATTTCTCAAAATAGAAAAAGCCTGCAAAGCTGTTGCATTTTAAATAAATAATACTTGCACCCACCCGAACCAATACAAAACCAACATCATCCAACCTGCAAAAGTAAGCGTTGATCAACTCCCTGAACCCCACCGGCAAAATGCCAACTTCATGCTTTAGAGTGGCACAGTTGTCAGGACACAGGCCCTCCTCCCAAAATAATGGTTTGGGAAGTGCTTTCATCGAACGACCATGTATGTACACATTGGTGGGACAAGAGCATATTGATCTGAAAGGTGTCAGCCTAAATATCTGCGCAACTGAAAGGCATTGTTTCTGGCAGGATCATTGACACTACCAAACTGTTTTTGCTCACAGAGAATGAACATCTTTAAATACAGTAATGCATATTTTATAATTGCCATAAAATATTCACCTAGATTGAGGTTCAGAATGCTTCCTGTGGGCGGCGTCTTCTCCTGCTTGACACTGGGAGCTGGGGAGTGGAATGGTTTAGGGCTGTCCAAGGAACTGCCTGCAGGACATGGTCGAGGATGGGCAGGTGATGCTGTTCAGAGACACATAATGTTAGTCTTTCTTCATTAGACATAACAGACTTGTTGCAACAACAACATGCACGTGGTAATGTACCTGTACAGTCCATGGACTCTTCTCCTGTACTGTACTGGCTGTTTGGAGCCTTTGTCTGGGACTTGTCCGCTGTCTCCTGCTCTGCATCCGAACCAGTATGGGCGGAGGAGTTGGTGCTCATGGGGGATCGAGGCATGTCAGCGAGGGGGAGCCGTCGTCCTGCTGTGCCCCCTCCCACCACTACAGCTGCAGACAACATGGTCCTGGCTAAAGAGATCTTGGGTGATGCCGTCATATCAAAGCTCAGTTTGATCTTCTCCTGTTTCTCAGATTTGATCGAGGCAGATGAGGGGTTGGAGGGATCCAGCAGCATCTGGAAGTTGTTGTCAGGAGTGTATGGTGTCCTGAAGGGGGCATAATTAAACACTCCAAACTTCTTCTTCATGTTCTCCACATAGACCTCCATCTCTTGCATGGCACTGTTGAAGATGCTCTTAGTCTTCTTCACAGAGAAGGGAATCTCTTTGGACATGAGGTAGCAATTGTTTAAAGGAACCCAAGCCCTGAAGGATGAAAACATAAATCAGAAACAAAGCTTGAATTGTGCAAGAGGAACTGAGTAACTGAAGGGCTGATACCTGTCATGCTGACCAAAAAAGCGAGCATCCACTTGTCCGTCTTTGTCCCGCAGAGCTTTAGCAGGCCAGAATGGAAATCCTTTCAGTTTGGCCCACACTAGAGGGTGTGGGTTACTCTGCAGACAAACAGTAAAACACTGGAACTAAGTTGGTGTATTCCAGGGATTTATGTTTAAAAAGCTAAACAATCTGGTGGAATCATAAACAGAAACTTCAAGTCACTCAACTAGCTTACACAAGGCTCACAGAACCAGTTGTCTCTCTTTTGGCAAGCAGACAGGTAGCACTCAGGACAGACTTCAATCTCGTTCATCTATAATTAAAGAGTCAGAAGAAATATGAAATGAAGTTTCAGCACTCGTTTCTGTCAATCAAATATACAAATATTTTCCGGATACTCACCTCGTGTTCACAGATTTTTACTATAACTTTAGCGGTAGCCGTGAGTTTGTGATTGCCTGAAACAAAGACATACATTTATGTTACACAACATACTTTTTAACAAAACTCTAATGAGAATTGCAATTAAAAACTGACAATGAACAGTGAATCACAGTTGATTTCATTGAAAATCAATTAGACTATTTCATGACATAGTATATGTATCTTCTTATTAAAGAGGCCCTTTTATGCTTTTTGGGGTTTTCCCTTTCCTTTAGTGTGTTATATGGGTTTATACATTCCCCTCCTGCCTGAAACACATCCATTGAACTCCTTTCTTTACCTACGAATCATATTCGCTTCTATTGGCTAACGCTCCCACACATTGTACGTGATGCTAAGAGGCGGGACATCTCTAAGCGTTGGACTGATCACAACAGAGCCGGCCAGCTAACCAATCAGAGCAGACTGGGCTCTAGTTTCAGACAGAGGGTGAAAAGAGGTGCTGCAGCACAGACAGTATGAGAAAAATAACGAGCTTTTTGAACATTGAANACATTTACCGCAATACAGAGGCAAAAGGAAAAAAGAGTAGACTTATATATTAAATTAAAAGTTATTAAAAAACTATACAAAAATGTAAATCATAATAATTACACCATGGTAAAAATGATAAGTAGCTGTAATATAATAAATAAATATAATTTTGTATAAAGTGGTGCACTGTAACTTTCATTCTTGTATTTTATACTATTTAAAAAAAATCAAAAACGTATACCGATTAATATTGTAAATGTCTGTAAGTGTAATTTTATAATGTGTTTCATTAAAGTGTTTTAAATTAGGTCCTATTATGCTTTTTGGGGTTCTCTCTTTCCTGTAGTTTGTTATATAAGTGTTGTGCATGTAAACATCACTACGTAACACTTTATTCTATTGGCTAGCGCTTCAACAAATTGTACGTGATAGACTAAGGGGCGGGACATCTCTAAGTGGTTGACCAATATCAACAGAGCCGGCCAGCTAACCAATCAGAGCAGACTGGGCTCTGGTTTCAGACAGAGGGTGAAAAGAGTTGCTGCAGCACAGACAGTATGAGAAAAATAACGAGCTTTTTGAACATTGAAGCATGGAGACATGTCCCAGTAGAGACACTAAATATTAATACAAACCTAATAATTATCATAATAGGGCCCCTTTTTTACTGCAACTTGCCGCATAAATAAACTTGCCTTGCTTTGCCTAGAGCAGCATCTGATTAGATTGATTCATAAAACACATGTTTTTGAGAATGATGCCTCTTAACAGATGTGCTCTCAGAGGAATAATTCATAAAAGAATGAGTCTTCTGACGATCAAATAATCACCACCAGAAGGCTTGAACGATGGCTCTAAAATGTTGTTGCTTGCTTTTCTGTGGAGATTGACGGCTGGAATCCACAGCAGTTTGTGTCCAGTTAGACCAGAATATATCACAGGGTAATTAATTTGCACCCTGGAGAAAAAGGTGGTGCTGTAATAACTGCATGTGCTCTCAGTTGCTAGACAACCCACTTCTATTTCTACACTCCACTGAACACAACTTTTCTAAAAAATCATGCTGTTTTATGAACCAGTTTAGTCTAGTTTTCTCAGGCACAACAAGGTTATTTAACATTGGATAGTACAGTACAGCTTACACTATTACATTTAAATGTGCACAGAATTCAAGATACAAAAACATGGGAAGAAAGAAACAACAAGCATCAACTCAACTCCTTTAAAGTTTCTTGACATATCTTCTATTACATGTCGCTTGTTAGACGCTTTTATCCAAAGCCACTTACATACTCAATACTGTGGGCAATCGCCACAGGAGAAATTTGGGGTGAAGTGTCTTGCCCAGGGACACAACGACATGCTAACTGCAGAGGCGTTTGAACCTGTGACCACCTGATCCCAACACCTACGCCCAACCCACTGCGCCACACGCCTTCTATCACGGCGACGCTGTCTGTCCACAATCTGACATAAATATAAACACCTGCTGTGATAGTTCCCTCTACAGTAGGTTTCTCACATTGATAATGATGACAACAAATATGTCATTTTTTGATTATTTGTTTTCTTTCATGCATAATATGAGGAAGGTTACCATCTCCTCTTTGCAGAAACCATTTAAATCCTACCAACCTACCCACACATGAGTCGTTTTTTGCGAAAAATCAACTTACCTAATTTTTTGTGGGAACAAGTGCATAAAAATAAGTGGATGGAAATGCACCTTAAGCCTTTTTGACAGCTAATGCTGCAGCTTCTTTCTTTTTAGACACTGTGTTGCCTCAAAGATCAGCAGTTTGAAGGCAAGTTCAACAAATGTACAAGCTAATTATTGGGCTTGGACTGTCCATCATTTGAATGTCACTTTAGACAAAAAAGTCTGCAAAAGTGTAATTGAATAGATGAATCCATACACTGCATTTATTCCATTGTATTGAATGTATTTGGTGTGCTGGTGTGAATTGGACCTCACTACCGGATCCAACCAAGACCTAAAGAATGTCCATGGAAACGCTTCATCGGGATGGGTGTAACTGAAGATACAGATCACCTGAGTAGAAGAAGAGCAGTTTAAAAAGTTTCTATGAACATTTGGACACTTCTTTTAATAACCATGACTCACCTGTGAATACCAATCTTACCACGGCTGTCGTCCTCTGCAAAAATAAAGCTACAAACTTGTTCAAGCCACTTTTCAAGCCTTCAGGAAACACATATTTTATACTTGAAAGACAGATTTCCAATTGTTTTTTTTTAACACCATCTGCAGGGCAACAGGTCACAATGACCACAGTAATGCCGCACTGATACAGACATAATGGCATATATGCACAGAGGATCCAGCTTCCTGTGTGTGTGTGTGTGTGTGTGTGTGTGTGTGTGTGTGTGTGTGTGTGTGTGTGTGTGTGTGTGTGTGTGTGTGTGTGTGTGTGTGTGTGTGTGTGTGTGTTGTGTGTGTGTGTGTGTGTGTCTGCTTCCATTCTGCCAGGTGTGTAAAGCCTCGTCTTTTGGAAATGAGTGAGTAACAGAAATGTTTCTGTGTGGATATTGGAGTCCATTAGTTTTGCATGTGTACAATGTGGGAGTCTGACAAATCCTTTTATATCAGAGTGGGGGTGTGTGTGTTTATTTGTCTGGGATCACACATAGCTTTCAGACATGTTTATCTTCAACATTAGTGTCTGTCCGAGGGTCTGTACGTGTGTGTACTTCAGAGTGTGAAATCCCATTAAGCGTGTTAAGACCCTCTTTGGCCTACTGCCTGCTCGGAGAGAGAGAGAGACAACACACACACACACACACAGAGTTATCATACCTGTCTATGTGTTTGTTTTGACCGTGCAGACGTGTGTGTCTTCCTGTGTGTATCGGCTTTTGGAAAAGTGCTAGTCAGGTGATGGTGGTAATTTCCTGAAGTAGCTTCACACCATCAACACTGTCGTCTGTCTCACACCTGGTTTTGCCTCGGCTTTCCGATCCTGAGGTGTGCCACCAAAGTAGTTATTGACTTTTTCACGGTTTAGTTACGTGGATAAATGCATTGATACTGAAAAATAAAAACATACATTAGTGAGTTCAAGAAACAAGAACGAGAAACAAAATACGTTTGCCAATCAATTTCCATTTTAGGCTTTTACGTACTGTATGTCTAAGTTGATTTTTGGAACCTGACTTCAGGGATTTTAAACTTCTTTTTAGAAAAAGCAAGTCTCCGATGTTCTCGATGAGACCTGTTTTGTGTTGTAGTTGTTGAATGAGAACAGGAAAAATACTGCAAACTTATCAATTACGAATCTTAGGTTTTTTGAGAAACCACAAAGATTTAACACCGTACAATCCATTTATCTAGGATAGAAAGATCCTAACTGAATAAACATGAGATCTGTTATGACATGTCACAACTCAACAAAAGCACAACACAAAACGTCATTACGAACATATCTGAAGATACATTCGACAACCACAACTTTACAGAAGAATTAACAATGCTGCCCACACACTTTCAACCATATATTGCAGTGTGGAATATAATTATTTAGATGCGTAATTCAATGCAATGCTCAACTGTTTTGAAATAAATACAAACATTTTGTATAGCTGAGTTATTTCTCGTCCTTGAAAACAGCAGATGAAGGAAAATACTGTTTGTAGTCGACAGCTGACGTTAAATTGACCGGACTACATTCTGCGCATTGATATGAATGCAGATAGTCCCTTAATCAGAACGTTTTTCTTCACAGAGGTCTGTCAGCACAAGATAACAGACGGAATGTCGAAATCGACCAATCAGAGTCCAGTATTAAACCAAGCAATGTGAAGTTATGATAACCTTAAACTTTCATCCAAAGTACCCTTACAACCCTGGTGATCCCATTTCAAATCTGATCATAAAAAGCCTGACATGTCTCCACTCTAGCCTTTGCTCTCATTTCCTCAGCTCTCCTCCGTATCTTTTCTCTCTCCCCGTGCTCTTCTTTTCTTTCTCCTCTCTGAATACTAAACACATTACATAACCATACATTGCTTCGCCACGGAGGATCATCCATTGGCGTGGCACATGTTCACGTCTCTCTGCAGGGGAGTGACAAGTGGAGCACCGCAGGGCCCATGCAGGAGATTCATATCAGCGGAGTCTATTATTCTGGCGTAACCCCCGCACTGCGAAGACAGAGACAAGACAGTGAGAGGAAAACAGATAGACATGGAGAGATGAGGCCGAGATGTTGTATCGTGATGAGAGAAATAAAAGCATGAATAATGTTGTTATTTTGCCCCATTTTGCACCAGTTGCTCTCCACTCAGCACAACCTCTCAGGCAGAGGAATATTCTATAATAGAAACGTCCGTCACGCCCCGTGTTTCCATATCTCTTATAGAAATGTCCATCATGTCGAGTCTGGACGTCAGCTCATCTCACCCCCTTTAAAACCCCAGAGGCGGAGGAGAGGGGGTTTGGAAAAAGACGAAGGCATGTGTGATGTTGAAGCCTTATTTCCTTAAAAGTCAATCAAGGAAGGGGGAGAGGAGGCGAGGGCGGGGGATGTAAAACGGACGAGTGGGGATGGGTGAGACT